ACCTCACCCTGTTACAATAATACTGTTTCTAGGCATGACGTCAGAACTAAATTCCCGACCCCCTCCATTGACCCTAATACCCCCAAATTACCCAAAAGTGGGTAATTCCCCTCCTTGTGGGGTTCCTATGAGGAGCTTAGGCTGTGCAACTACCGCGAAAATGTCTTTTTCTGGTTGTCACCGAACGAAATGTTCATTTTGAACGAATATAATCGAAACTGGACGATTTCGGAGTTGTATCCCACATCTATCGTTATATGAGACGTATCAGAACCTTCTACGAACTAAACTAAAAGCCCTGATGATGAGAACACTTTTTCAGGTTACAGTGAAAGCGACGACCGTGAGTACGGAACTCAATTCCGAAGTTCTTCGCAGATGAACGATCAGTTCCCGAGGTCGTCGATGAGCTACTATGAACCAGTGATGCAGGAACATGGCTATACGACTGATACTTACGATGAATACGAGCAACGACGATCCAGTTCCAGGCAAAAACGTGACAGGTTCGAATTATTTGAAGATTATTCAATCAGAGTTGTTGATCTCTTAATGATCATCCTTCACTAAGGTTTTTTACCTGGATTGGCAAGCAGGCTATCAAACTTGTTTGCAACGTTGCTGGCCACAATGCTCGTGTTTCCGTTCGCACTGTTTAACCGTTTATTGAGGCCACCCCGCTGGCTAGGTGAGCCGGCCATCCGAATCCAACCAAGTGATTAATTAGTTGCCGTGAATACTTTGCATAATTAAACGCAGCCAAATANAATACTACAGCTCTAATAGAATAAATATTTCACCGATCGTTCACAGCCATCTACAAAACTTTCCATTCGATGACTAAGTAACAATTAACAATCCTTCACTAAAGTAACAATTAACAATCCTTCAAATAAACTCCAAATAATGCCATTACTTGGAAGTGTTCTCTGTCACTATAACGTTCCTTAAAAGTTTAGTGTTTCCAAAAATTCGTGTAAGATTTGACAGGTCTCTTTATTTTATCGACACTTGTAGTTTTTTTGAGGTGGTTTCTGCTGGAATTAGCTGAGTTCGCCGAATTTCAGTGATACATCGAATGTGTCGGATGCACGTGCACGACGGAAACGCTGTAAGGTATTCAGTTATGACGGAGATTATTATCAAGCGTTGGGCTATGACACTGACACGCACACGGATGAATACTATCCTCGAGCGAGCAGTTCGTATGAGCGATATCCGAATGAACGACATCCTCATGATGATTTCTATCGCGAAAGGTTACTTCCACTTGATAGGTGCTCCAAAAATGCATCGGTCGTGAAGTTCGTCGATACTTTTGAACGAAGAACATTTCCAGAAAGATATAAGTCAGGCAATTCTTACGATGAGAATTTGCTATCTATAGCAATAACGAGTTCATTCAAGAGATCTGCATTGATAGTATCATGTCACACTGTTACTGCTGCTCCCATACTTTATGAATTATTGAAAATTTCAAAAAAAAATTCATAGCATTACTCCAACTGCAACCAATATGATTGTTTTGATTCCAGGTCCGATTGGGAGCAACGGAACAGTGACTGGACCGAGGAACAGGAACCATTGTCGTACAACAGTCGTNTATCTCACCATCAACCAGGTGAATGTGGAAATTTTGATGATTTTCATATTAGACGAAGCAATGAGGTTTCTTGAATCCATCTTCATTATCAGTGCACCAACTAGATTGCCAGTAGATCATTCCAGCATTACAACCTCCACTCAGATCATTCCAGCATTACAGACAGATCAAGATTAAATTCCGTGATATTTTCGCCTTTCATTCGGGTTTCATAACTTTTTTCAATAACTTCATTCGAATCTGATGCTGTCTGCTGCCTGCGTCAGAATTCTTTTCGGTTTGTTGAACTTGTCTTTTTTCAGTCATCATTTTCGAGATGACGACGAAGTTGAACACAATTGGCCATCAATATCTCAACAGTGAGTTTCATCTCTTGCACTTCAATGAATTCAATCGCATTCCATCGCTAAGCAATCCGAACAAAACTCCATCTTGCTGATTCATAACAGTTCTAATAATCAGTTAATCCCTGAGCAGACAATGAATGTATGCTATATCCTCGAAAAGAAAACCTCCAGAAAACTTTTAACGGAAGCTTCCTCAATCAACCCAATGGTCGCAACCAAATGACGCATGAACACCAATGATTTGCAGTTAATATCCGTTATTCACTGCAAAGGTCGTATATGAAAATGAAATTTTTTCTTTCGACAAATCCGCGAATATTATATGTTCATCATAAAGTTGTGTGATTAGCGAAGCCTAGCCAAGAATTTGTCGCATTAACCTAAATGCAGCGATCGCATTTAGCTTTCTAATTCATTCCTTAATCACTTACAGGGCACTGATTTGGCTAAAATTAA